GAGAGACACAGAGAGAAGAGCTTTCCTTTGCTGGAGTTACTGAAAAAATCAAACACGAATCTGCAAGTACTGGCTGCCATCTGGCTACTCTGAGAGGAGGAGGTGGCTGAGAATGGAACAACTCAGAAGAAAGCCGAGCTAAGGGAGGGATCAAAGTCCTAATGATACTGTTTGAGATCATGGAGCCAACTGTGCCTTCACAGTCAGTAAACCAGTGCGCCTCTTTGAGTTGGGTCTTTGATGACTTGTTACCAAAAGATTCCTGCCTACTATAAGCTCATCAGAGCTGTGTTTTAGGCATATCTGAGGAGGAAGGAAACAGACAGAAAGGAATTTAGTTAAGACCAGGCTAGAGCCGAGTGCGGTGGCTCACATCTGTAATCCCAGCATTTTGGGAGGCCGAGGCGGGCGGATCACAAAGTCAGGAGTTTGAGACCAGCCTGACCAACATGGTGAAACCCCATCTCTACTAAAAATACAAATATTAGCCAGGCGTGGTGGTGGGCACCTGTAATCCCAGCTACTTGGGAGGCTGAGGCAGGCTTGAACCTGGAAGGCAGAGATTGCAGTGAGCCAAGATTGTGGCACTGCACTCCAGCCTGGGCAACAGAACGAGAATCCATCTCAGGGGGGAAAGAAAAGTAGCCTGGGCAACATAGCCAGACCCTTGTCTTTACAAAAAATAAAAAAAATTAGGCCAGGCACAATGGCTCACACCTATAATCCTAGCACTTTGGGAGGCGAAGGCAGGCAGATAACTTGAGGTGAGGAGTTTGAGACCAGCCTGGCCAAATGGTGAAACCCTGTCTCTACTAAAAATACAAAAAGAGCCGGCTGCAGTGGCTCACGCCTATAATCCCACCACTTTGGGAGGCCGAGGCAGGTGGATTGCCTGAGCTCAGGAGTTCAAAACCAGTTTGGGCAACACGGTGAAATCCCATCTCTACTAAAATACAAAACATCAGCTGGGCATGGCAGCCTGTGCCTGTAATCCCAGCTACTCAGGAGGCTGCGATAGGATAATCCCTGGAACCTGGGAGGTGGAGGTTGCAGTGAGCCAAGATTGTGCCACTGCACTCCAACCTAGGTGATAGAGGGAGACTCCATCTCAAAAATAAAAATACAAAAAGAATTAGCCAGATATGGTGTTGTGTACCTGTAGTGCCAGCTACTTGGGAGGCTGAGGAAGGGGGATAATTTGAGCCTGGGAGGTCAAGACTACAGTGAGTTATGATCACACTGCTGCACTCCAGCCTGGGCAACAGAGTGAGACCTTGTCTCAAAAAAAGGAAAGAAATGAAAAGAAAGGCCAGGTGTCATTGCTCACACCTGTACCTATAATCCCAGCACTTTGGGAGGCCAAGGCGGACGGATTGCTTGAGACCAGGAATTCAAGACCAGCCTGGGTAACAAGATGAACAATGTCTCTACCAAAAAAACACAAAAATTAGCTGCCTGTGGTGGTGCGTTCTGTGGTCCTAGCTACTTGGGAAGCTGAGGTGGGAGGATCACTTGAGCCTAAGAGTTGGAGCCTGCAGTGAGCCATGATCTTGCTATTGCACTCTAGCCTGGGTGACAGGGCGAAACTCCATTGGAAGGAAGGAAGGAAGGGAGGAGGGAGGGAGGGAGGGAGGGAGGGAGGGAGGGAGGGAGGGAAAGGAAGAAAGAAAGAAAGAAATCCCAGCCTAGTCCTCCAAGCCAACCACAGTCACTAGAGGGGAATCTCAGTCACACTCTGAGCTTCCAGCAGCAGGAGGTGGCAGCCTGCCTCTCTGATACACCAGCCTTTCCTGTGCCGGGAAACTCACTCCCACTCAGCAAACCTGGCTCCGTGCTGAACCCCATGGTGTTTTCTCTGAGTCACTATATTCTCCCGCAGCTGCAAAATGATCTGGCAAAAGTCCCTCCAGGGCTTTTTCTGCTTACTGAGTAACATCCAAACTCCTTGCCAGAATCCAGAGCCTTCCTCAATCTGGTGCAATCTACCTCTCCAGCCTGAACCCCCATCATTTTTTCACTGCAGCCACGCTGGACAAATCATGCTTTGCCTCTGTACCTCGGCTCACCCCGATCCTTCTCCATCATGGCTTTCTTCAGTCCCGACCTTCTGCAACCCTACTTTTTCTTTTCTTCTTTTTGCTTTTTTGTTTCTTGCTTTTGAGACGGAGTTTTGCTCTGTTGCCCAGGCTGGAGTGCAGTGGCATGATCTCAGCTTACCACAACCTCCACCTCTTGGGTTCAAGTGATTCTCCTGCCTCAGCCTCCCAAGTAGCTGGGATTACAGGCACATGTCACCAAACGCCCGGCTAATTTCTGTATTTTTAGTAGAGATGGGGTTTCACCATGTTGGTCAGGCTGGTCATGAACTCCTGACCTCAGGCGATCTGCCTGCCTCAGCCTCCCAAAGTGCTGGGATTACAGGCATGAGCCACTGCAACCGACCTACTTTTACTTTACTTTTCTTTTTTTTTTTGGAGACAGAGTCTTGCTCTGTAGCCCAGGCTGGAGGGCAGTGGCGCAATCTTGGCTCACTGCAACCTCCTCCTCCCAGGTCCCAGGTTAAGCAATTCTCCTGCCTTAGCCTCCTGAGTAGCTGGGATTACAGGTATGTGCCACCATGCCCAGCTAATTTTTGTATTTTTAGTAGAGACAGGGTTTCACCGTGTTGGCTAGGCTGATCTTGAATTCCTGACCTTGTGATCCACCTGCCTCGGCCTCCTAAAGGGCTGGGATTACAGGCATGAACCACCGCACCCAACCTACTTTTGCTTTTCTTTACTTTTTTTATTATAGAGACAGTGTCTCCCTCTGTTGCCCAGGATGATGTGCTGTGGTGCAATCATAGCTCACAGCAGCCTTGACCTCCTGGGCTCAAGCGAGTCTCCTACCTCTGGAGTAGCCAGGACCACAGGCACGCACCACCACGCACAGCTAATTTTTGTCTTTTTTTGCATAGACGGAGTCTTCCTATGTTGCCCAGGGTAGTCTCAAACTCCTGGTCTCAAGGGCTCCTCCTGCCTCCGACTCTCAAAGTGCTCGGATTACCAGTGTGAGCCACCACACCTGGCCTGTGTATTTATTATTTTAAAGACAAGGTATCAGTATTATTAAAAGGGAGGAAAAAAGAAAGAAGTAGAGACAGGTTTCTCACTCTCACCCTGACTGGAGTGCAGTGGTGCAATCATAGCTCACTGCAGACTCCAATTCCCCGGGCTCAAGTGATCCTCCTGCCTCGGCCTCCTAAACAGAGCACTGAAAGTGAGTCACTGCACTGGGATCTAAATTGATTTACATATTTTCTCTCTTCAATAGAGTGGAGGCCTCTACTAGAAGACAGTAGGTAATTTGCCAAGGGTAACACAAGTTAAGTGAGTGGCAAAGACGTGATTCATTTTTTCTTCTTTTTCTTATTCCTCATTCAACTTGAACTTGAAAGATGAGATTCTAGTCCAGGCAATCAGGCTCCAGGGTGTTTTTACTCTTAAGCACAGATTCATACTATCCAGTAATCCTTTATCAGCCCCAGTACCTAGCTCAGAGCTTTGCACACAGGGCCATGCAATGGTTTATCAAATGAATAACTAAAAAAACTCATTGATCTAATTAGCACCTCTTGAACCTTTACTGACCTATGGGCTACTGGGAATCAGAAACTCAGTCTCATTAATCTGAGTGAGACTGCCTGGCTGTGGATCTAATTATAAGCGATTTCAGAATCATAATTACTGTTCCATTTTGTCTCTTGATCTGTAATGCATCAAGGACCTACTCCCAGCTTCTCAGGGACAAAAAAAAACAACAAAAGAACCCACAACATGATTACTTACTGAAGCCTGGGAGCTGTGTGTTTTTGTAAAGCTTGCAGCTCACATCTTCGATGTGAAAGAGGGGGGTGGACTGGATGGTCTCGGAGGGCCCTTTCTTCAGTTGTAATAGTCTGAGATGGACAGGTGTGATCCCAGAGCTTTGGGAGGCCAAGGTGGGAGGATTCCTTGAAGTCAGAGTTTCAGACCAGCCTGGGCAACATAGCAAGACCCAGTCTCTACCCACCAAAAAAACATATTTTCTTTTCTTTTTTTTTGAGATGGAATCGCCTTGCTTTGTCACCCAGGCTGGAGTGCAGTGGGCGATCTTGGCTCACTGCTGCAACCTCTGCCTCCTGGGTTCAAGCAATTCTCCTGCCTCCACCTACTGAGTAGCTGGGATTACAGGCGCCCACCATCAGGCCCCAATAATTTTTGTATGTTTAGTAGACACGGGTTTCACCACGTTGGCCAGGCCGGTCTGAAACTCCTGACCTCAAGTTATCCGCCCAACTCGGCCTCTCAAAGTGCTGGGATTATAGGCGTGAGCTACCGTGCCGGAACCCCCCAAAATTTTTTAATTAGCAGGGCATGGTGTTGTCCACTCGTAGTCCCGGCTCTTCGGGAGGCTGAGGTTGAAGGATCGCTTGACCCCAATCACTCGAGGCTGCAGTGAGCTATGATTGCACCACTACACTCCAGCCTGGACGACAGAGCGAGACCCTGTCTCTAAAAGAAAAAAACAGTATAGGATTTTGAGAGGCATGGAATTATAAAGAGCCTCTGTGTCAAAAGACATCATTTTGAGTCTCACGTCTGTCATTACTAGGGACCTTACCCAAGTTAGTTAACCCAACTCACAGATTGCCGATCTGTAAAATTTGATTCATTTATTCGAACATTTTTTTGATCTAGGGTGATCCCGGGCCCAGGTTCTGGTGGGCTCCCGCACACATTGGCTGGCTGGCTCTGGGAGGTCACGCGCTGGCCGCTTCATCATCGAGGAGAGGGTGAAGACGATCTCCGAGGCCGCGCTGCTGAGCCTTCCCGTGGCCTGGAGGCCACGGAACCAGCAGGGATCCAAGGCCCGCGCACCTAGGGCTGGAAGGGCAGGCGCGCGCAGGGCGGCTCACGTGACAGCCCCGGGCCCGCCTGGGGTCGGGGGCGCGCGGGGGCGGGGCGGGGGCGGGGCCTGGCGCGCGCGGCCCCGCGGGTGACAGGCGGGCGGGAAGGGGCGGGGCCTCGGGCGGGGCCGCTGAGGGGAGGAGGGCGGCGGGAGGGGAGGAGTGGAGATGGCGGCGGCGGCGGCGGCGGCGGCTCAGGGGGGCGGGGGCGGGGAGCCCCGGAGAGCCGAGGGGGTCGGCCCGGGGGTCCCGGGGGAAGTGGAAATGGTGAAGGGGCAGCCGTTCGACGTGGGCCCGCGCTACACGCAGCTGCAGTACATCGGCGAGGGCGCTTACGGCATGGTCAGGTGAGGGGGCGTTCCGGGGGAGGGGGCGCCCTCGGGGGAGGGGGCTTCGCGGGAGAGGAGGGGGAGGCGCCGAGCGCTTTCCAGGACGTGGAGACGCGGAGCGTCCCGAGGAGGCCGGGGACTCGGGATGATCGGGAGCGTCCCAGGGAGGGGTCCCTGAATGCTTTCTGGGGGAGGGGTCGCTGCTACGTCCTCAGAGGAGGGGGCTTGGAGCTTTGAGTCCAGCACTCCGTAATGACGGGAGGGGCATCTGAGTGCATGTGGGGGACTGCCGGGACCCTAGAGACACGGGGCAAGGCCCAGAGGATGAGTACTCTCGGGGAGGCGACATCCTTAGTGAAGGGGCAGTGGAGGGTCGTTCTGGGGGAAAGGGTGTCTTGGATTCCCTGTGAGGCAGTGCTTGGAAGCCTGGGGGAGAAGAACAGAGATCAGGGTGTGGCAGGGCTTTGGCCCTCCCTTCCCACCACCACCAGGGGCTCAGTGAGGGATGAAGGGGCCAGGAGTGCCACCTGCATGTTTTGGGAGGGGTCTGTGAGTGCCCCCCGCCCCTCCATGTGCTCTGGGACAGCCTGGCTGCCTGGGCCCCTCACTCTGGGACCCTCCCCTGCCCTGTCCATTCCCTGGCTGCTGCTTTCCCACTGTGTTTGCCCCATGGTGTGGTCCCAGCATCTGCACCCCTGGACCTGTCTTGGGTTAAGGAGCCTTTCCTGGGAAGTGGGGTGAAGGGTTCAGGGCCACTAGAATGAAAGGGGATTGAGGAGAGGGGAAGTCAGTGAGTGGTCAGTCTCTTCCTCTGTTTGTAAAGTCACCGCAGGGGCGCCTGGCTGGTCCCCAGCTTTCTCTCTAGAGATCCCAGGCCTCCACAGCAGGAAGGAACCAGCATTGTTTATGAATTGGCCAGAGCCAGCTCCTGCTCCCTCCCCTCCCTGCCAAGGCCTGGGTGGGGCCACCAGGCCTGGACTCCCACTTTGTAAGGCCACAGCAGCAGCCTCTCTCTGGTCCCCTCAGCTCGGCCTATGACCACGTGCGCAAGACTCGAGTGGCCATCAAGAAGATCAGCCCCTTCGAGCATCAGACCTACTGCCAGCGCACGCTCCGGGAGATCCAGATCCTGCTGCGCTTTCGCCATGAGAATGTCATCGGCATCCGAGACATTCTTCGGGCGTCCACCCTGGAAGCCATGAGGGATGTGTATCCTTCACCTTGGCCTTCATGGCCTCCGAGCTGGGCTGGGGAACCATCACTTGCTTTCTGTTTCCATCTTCCCCACCATCCTCCAAAAAAAACCCAGTAAAATAAACTTTCCTGCAGAGGAGAGGCCACAGTGTAACAGGACTTGGAGGCCTCTGATGAATCCAGGCCTGTGGCAGCCGGGCAGTATGGCCTTGAGCAAGTCGGTTCTCTGCTCTGTGCCCCAGGGGGAGAGCTGGGCAGGATGGTCTCTATGGGAGTGTTGTCTTCTGACATCTGCAGTTCTGAGACATGACCCGGCCACAGCCCACAGTCACTTCTTGATAACAAATGGACGATTCTTTTCTCTCTTTTCTCTTTCCCCAGACTGGAAGGGAGACAGGGAGAAAGAAAGCTGTCAGCCGGGTGCAGTGGCTCACGCCTGTAATTCCAGCACTTTGGGAGGCCAAGGCAGGTGGATTACTTGAGGTCAGGAGTTGGAGACCAGCCTGGCCAACATGGTAACATTGTAAAACCCCATCTCTACTAAAAATACAGAAAAAAAAATATATATAGCCGGGCCAGCTACTCTGGAGGCAGGGGTAGGAGAATCACTTGAACCCAGGAGGTGGACAGTGAGCCAAGATCATGGCATTACATCCCAGACTGGGTGACAGAGCAAGACTCTGTCTCAAAAAAAACAAAAAAACTACCTTTCTTGAGGGCCTATTGTGGGTCAGGTACTATATATGCCCAGTGCTTTATTTATTTATTTTGCTATTACACCTTCCAGCTATCCTATGAGATGGGTTTTTCAGCTCCATTTTTTTTTTTTTTTTTTTTTTTGAGACGGAGTTTCACTCTTGTTACCCAGGTTGGAGTGCAATGGCACGATCTCAGCTCACCGCAACCTCTGCCTCCTGGGTTCAAGCAATTCTCCTGCCTCAGCCTCCCGAGTAGCTGGGACTACGGGTGCGCACCACCATGCCCAGCTAATTTTTGTATTTTTAGTAGAGACGGGGTTTCAACATGTTGACCAGGATGGTCTCAATCTCTTGACCTTGTGATCCACCCGCCTTGGCCTCCCAAAGTGCTGGGATTACAGGCATGAGCCACTGCATCCGGCCTTCAGCTCCATTTCAAAGATGAGGGGTGGAGAGCAATGGCTCACGTCTGTAGTCCCAACACTTTGGGAGGCCAAGACTGGAAGATTGCTGGAGACCAGGAGTTCAAGACCAGCCTGGGCAGCATAGTGAGACCCCATCTCTACAGAAAATTTAAAAATTAACCAGGTTTGGTGGTGCACAATTGTAGTCCCAGCTACTTGGGAGGCTGAGGCAGGAGAATGGCTTGAGCTCAGGAGTTAGAGGCTGCAGTGGGCTGTGATTGTGCTACTGTACTCCAGCCTGGGGGACAGAGAATGACCCTGTCTCAAAAAAAAAAAAAAAAATGAGGAAGCTAAGACCCAGAAAACCTAAAATCAAGTGTTTCTCTTGCTGTCTCCTCCTCCCCTCCCCCAGATGGGAAGTTGTCCTTCCTCTAGGACTTCTCACTCCAAGCAGCACCCTAATCACCTGTGGACTTGCACTTTGCCCAGGGAGGAGACAACCTAGCCTTGGTCTCCTCCCCTGATATTGCTTTCCTGGTTTGCTGTCCACTTCCTGGCTGGCTCTTTTGTTAGCAACTTGTGACACCTGTCACCTCTTCCCTGCCACACCCAATCACTCTCGGTCCCAGCACTCCACCCAAGAGAGGGGATTTGTACTCTGGTGTCTATAGCCCCCACCACAAACTGTGGACAGGAAATCTCCGCGTTCAGCCCCAGCTCGCTGTGTCATCTGAAGCAAGTCACTGCATCTCACTGGGCCTCCCCAGCTCTAAAACAGCAGGGCTGGTCCAGATGTTCTCTGAAGACTTCTTCAAGGCAGACCCCCCCTCCCCCCCCCCCCCCCCCCCCCCCCCCCCCCCCCCCCCCCCCCCCCGCTCTGTTGCCCAGGCTGGAGTGCGGTGGCTAGATCTCCAATCACTGCAACATCCACTTCCCAGGTTCAAGTAATTCTGCCTCAGCCTTCCAAGTAACTGGGACTACAGGTGTGCACCACCACACCCGGCTAATTTTATATTTTTAGTAGAGATTTCACCATGTCGGCAGGCTGGCCTCGAACTCCTGACCTCAGATCACCAACCCACCTTGGCCTCCCAAAGTACTAGATTACAGGTGTGAGCCACAGCGCCTGGCCTCAAGGCAGATTCTAAAAGACAGACCTGACTTATTTTTCCAGACACAAGCCAAACGACATTTGTGGATTTATTTATTTATTTACTCACAGTCTTTGTTTTAGCTTCAAATGGAAAAAGACATTTTACTCCTCCATCTTCTGAGGTATGGCCAAGCACTCTTCTTTGAGTGGGAGTGTGCTGTTGGGAGTGTCTCCTCGTTTTTCTTGCACAAACCATTCCCATAAGGCAGGCATTTATTTTTAAGCAAACATCTATTGCATGCCAGATGGTGTTCATCCATTATCTCATTTAACTCCCGCGGCGTCCCTGTGACTCAGGCCTTGATATTAGTAATAATAGTTCACGTTTCTTTAGCACTCACAACTTGCCAGGCGCTGGGCTGACAGCTTTACATGCGCCACCTCATCTAGTCTTTACAGCCACCCTCGAAAGAACCATTATTTCATGCTTGCACCTGTAATTTCCAGCACTTTGGGAGGCCGAGGCGGAAGGAACTCTTGAACCGAGGAGTTCAAGACCTGCCTGAGCACATAGCAGGAGTCCATCTCCACAAAAAAGAAAAAAGCAAATAAACAAACAAAAAACATTATTTCCCCGACATACTAGGTGAGAAAGTTGAGGCACAGACAAGTTGAGATCTTAAAGCCAGTGAGTAGTAGAGAGAGGATTTCACACATCCATGGGTTAACTCCTTTTTATTTTTTAAAATTAATTTATTTATTTTTGAGACAGAGGCTCACCCTGTCATCCCAGCTGGAGTGCAATGGCAAGATCTTGGCTCATTGCAACCCCAACCTCCCGAGTTCAAGCCATTCTTATGCCTCAGCCTCCTGAGTAGCTGGGATTACAGGCACATGCCACTGTGCCCGGTTAATTTTGGAATTTTTAGTAGAGACGGGGTTGTGCCATGTTGCCCAGGCTGGTCTCAAACTCCTGGCCTCAAGCAATCCTCCTGCCTCAGCCTCCCAAAGTACTGGGATTAGAGGCGTGAGCCACTGCTCAGCCCCAGTTGCTGCTCTTAACTGTGAGGTTCTCCTGCCTCCCACAGTTTATTAGTATCCCCATTTTCCCAGTAGAGAAACTGAGGCCACAGAAATGAAGCCTTTTGCTCAGGCTCAGCAGCTTCAATGCAACAGAGGCTGAGTCCTGCTGCTGGGTGACAACGGCAGCTTGCCCAGCTGGCGGTGCAGGTTGGAAGTTCTATTGAGCCCCAAGGGCCCTGGCTGGAGGTGTGCAGGCTTGCCTTCAGAGCCTGTTTTCCTTAACCAAGTGCCTCCCGCTGCCCCTTGCCCGGGGGGCCTCCGGAACCATCCTTAGCTACATTGTGCAGGACCTAATGGAAACTGACCTGTACAAGTTGCTTAAAAGCCAGCAGCTGAGCAATGACCACATCTGCTACTTCCTCTACCAGATCCTGCGGGGCCTCAAGTACATCCACTCCGCCAATGTCCTCCACCGGGATCTAAAGCCCTCCAACCTGCTCATCAACACCACCTGCGACCTTAAGGTCAGAGGGTTGGGCACCTGTCTCCTCCTCCCCCAGGGTCTGGAGCTTCCAGGTGACCAGTGGAAGCCATTGGCAGGAGAACATTGCAAGCCAGGGGAACAGCAGAAGCAAAGACAAGGGGGAGTGACTGCTTGGGCTGCGGAGGCCTTGAGTGCCAAGCTTAGCAGCTGGGTCTGATTCCAGATCTGTGATTTCGGCCTGGCCCGGATTGCTGATCCTGAGCACGACCACACTGGCTTCCTGACAGAGTATGTGGCTACACGCTGGTACCGGGCCCCAGAGATCATGCTGAACTCCAAGGTAGGAGGGGCTGCCCACTCCTGAAGGGAAGGGGCCAGGTCCCAGGAAGCCCTGGAGCTACCTCTGAGCCAGGCACTGACCCCCATTCCACCCTCTGGGCTTGGGCTCTGCAAGGAAGCTGAGAGTGGAGCCCTCCAGGCCTCTGCCTTCTGCCTGGTGTTGGATCTAGCTTGGGGTGGTGGCCTGGCACAGGCAGCAGGACCCTGTTGAGGCTGTCCCGGGAGCCCATCACTTCCTCCTTTCTCCCAGGGCTATACCAAGTCCATCGACATCTGGTCTGTGGGCTGCATTCTGGCTGAGATGCTCTCCAACCGGCCCATCTTCCCTGGCAAGCACTACCTGGATCAGCTCAACCACATTCTGGGTGAGGGAGTCCCGGCTGACTGAGTGGGGGATAATTAGCTTTTCCTAGGTGAGATTTCTTGAGAGTCCGAGTCAGGGATATCATCATCATGTACGGGGTGCCTCCAGCATCTCCTAGACCTCAACGAGGTATAGATATTATCCCCACTGGAAAGATGGGAAAAGCAAGGCTAAGTCCTACACCTAAGGAGGCACCACACCTAGGATTTGAGCCTCAGTCTGCCTGAATCCAGCCCCTTGCTCTGCTGGGAGAGCAGACTAGGAGGTGACTAAGAGTTTGGCATGGGTTGCTAGGCTGGGGGGTCTTGTTCTTGCCCTCTTGCCTGTTCTGTTCCCAGAAAGGAGGAGGTGATCATTTACCAAGTCACCTCCTTATCCACAGGCATCCTGGGCTCCCCATCCCAGGAGGACCTGAATTGTATCATCAACATGAAGGCCCGAAACTACCTACAGTCTCTGCCCTCCAAGACCAAGGTGGCCTGGGCCAAGCTTTTCCCCAAGTCGGACTCCAAAGGTATGAGAGACGTGGGGACGGGTGTGGCATAAACCCTGGGAGCTGTGGAGGGTGCGTGAGTCCAGCAGCCACCGGAGGAGACGGGCCCTGGGCATGGGGAAGCAAAGCGATGCTCCTGGGAGCTCCTCCAGCCTTCCCTGTGACCCCTGACTCCTGCCCTTCCATAGCCCTTGACCTGCTGGACCGGATGTTAACCTTTAACCCCAACAAACGGATCACAGTGGAGGAAGCGCTGGCCCACCCCTACCTGGAGCAGTACTATGACCCAACGGATGAGGTGGGCCAGTGCCTAGCAGCAGCGGGGCTGGGGGCAGGGGATCAAGTCGGCATTCCCCACACCGGGCCTGAGCCTTACCGTCTCTGCCACCCCAGCCAGTGGCCGAGGAGCCCTTCACCTTCGACATGGAGCTGGATGACCTACCCAAGGAGCGGCTGAAGGAGCTCATCTTCCAAGAGACAGCACGCTTCCAGCCTGGGGCGCTGGAGGCCCCCTAACCTAGACAGATATCCTGTGCCCTGGGGCCTGGTGAGTGTCCCCATGGCCCGCACACAGACACACTGATACTAAATATAGATCTCTATCTCTATATCCACACCTACAGCTATCTCTGTCTCTATCTACCTCTCTCTCTATCTCTATCTAAGCTGCAAGCTTGCCCCGCACCCATGGTCCATGTGGCTGGTGACATCAGAGGTGCCCAGGGAGCTGGGCATGGTGGCTCATGCCTGGAATCCCAGCACTTTGGGAGACAGACTTAGACCAGTAGGTCACCAGAGGTCAGAAGTTCAAGACCAGCGTGGCCAACATGGTGAAACTACTAAAAATACAAAAATTACACACCAAAAACATATAAAAACTACTCAAAATACAAAAATAAGCCGGGCATGGTGGCGCACACCTATAAGACCCAGCCACTCAGGAGGCTGTGGTGGGAGGATTTCTTGAACCTGGAAGGTGGAGGTTGCACCACTGCACTCCAGCCTGGGCAACAGTGAGACTCTGCCTCAATAAAAGAAAAAAATGCCCAAGGACTACCCAGACTCGTGGCCCACCCAGTCCTCCAACCCCAAATGTCTCCACCTGTCAACACCCTGCATCCTCCAGCCCCAGGAGCCATTCTAATCTTCTGGGAACAGAACTAGCAAAGAGGCAAGAGGTTACAGAGGGCCCCTGTCACCCAGGTAAGGACCTGAGCCAGGCCTCAGCTCTGGGTGTGGCAGAAGCAGGTGGAGCCATGATCGCTTTGGGAGGGGCCCAGCATCACCCAGCCTGACCCAGATGGCGAGGCCTCCTCACACCTGCTGCCAGGTTAGCAGTTCACATAGCTGTGGGACCCCACTGGGCCTGCCCCCACCCACACTGCCTCCTCCAGTCTCTTCCTGTCTCTGGCCAGGTGTGGCCTGATAGGAAGAAGGCAGCACACCTGGGCTCAAACTGCAGCTGTGCCACTTAGTAAGTGCTGTGTGGTATTAGACAAGGCACCTCGCCTCTCTGTGCCTCAGTTCCCTGGAAACAGTTTTATTTATCTTGTTTTGTTTTTGTTTTTTTTGAGACAGTATCTCACTCTGTTGCCCAGGCTGGAATGCAGTGGCACAATCATAGCTCACTGCAGCCTCAAATTCCTGGGCGCAAGGGATCCTCCCAGGTAGCTGGACGAGCCTTTGCAACTGGCTAATTTTTTTTTTTTTTTTTTTTAAGAGTTGGGGTCTTACTATTTGCCCAAGCCAGTCTCCAACTCCTGGGCTCAAGTGACCCACCCGCCTCAGCTTCTCAAAGTGCTGGGATTACAGGCATGAGCCACCACACCCGGCCGAGACAGTTCTAATAATGAACGCATAAAACCCTAAGCATTGTTCTAAGAGGTTCGCATGTATTAATCCTTTTAATCTTACAGCAGTACCTTGAGCTAGGTACTATGATTATCTCCATTTACAGATAAGGAAACTGAGCTCCAGCCTGCCCAGCTGTGAGGGTGATGGGCTGCACCGGGTCTGCCCGAGGGTGCTGATGACTCCTCTCCTGCCTGCTTCCCTCTTTAGGAGCTGCCTTCCTCCTGCCCCTCTCCTGCCGGACTGTTAGAAAATGGACACTGTGCCCAGCTCAGACCTTGGCAGCCCAGCCGGGGTGGAACATGGGCCTGGCCACCTCTCTCCTTTGCTCAGGCCTCCAGCTTCAGGCAGGTCAAGGCCTCCTCCTCTCTGCCTGTCCTCTCCACAGGGCATCGGAGGCTCAGGTGGCCCCAGTTCAGTTTCCCGCTGCTGCTGCTGTGCCCTTCCCCAGCGTCCCAGTCTCTGCAGTTCTGGAATGGAAGGGCTCTGGCTGCCCAACCTGCTGAGGGGCGGGGGTGGAGGGTGGGGGGCATTGAGTAGGACTCAGGGCCAGGCCTTCCTCCTCATCTCATTCAACCCCCTCCCTAGTTTCCCTGAAGGAACATTCCTTAGTCTCAAGGGCTAGCATCCCCGAGGAGCCGGGCCAAGCTGAATCCCCTTCCTGTCAAAGCTGCCACTTTGAGCGCCCTCACTGCTTCTGTGTGTGGTGATCGGAGTGGAGCTGGGGGGCGTGGAGAGCCCGGCACCCCCACCACCTCCTTGGCCCGTCTAATATATAAATATAGAGATGTGTCTATGGCTGACCCTAGCTCTGTCTGTGTTTGCGACGCCCTGCCCTGCCCCGTGCGGCTCTGAAGACGGACTCCAGCACCCCAGCTGCTGCTTGCTCAGGCTTTCCAGAGCCTGGTGCCCTTCACTCACACTGCCCAGGGCTGGGGATGGGCCTCTGAGGAGCTCCAGACTCCTAGAAAGAAGGGGATCAATTTTCCCCTTAGTCACTGTCCTGTCCCCTTGCTAATGGCTTCCTGTCTAACTGGCTGGGGGTGATTCGGGGTGACTCAGGGGCACCCTACATACCCCTGGATCCTCTGAAATGGCAAGGGAACAGAACTGGCATGTTGGATGCCCTGGCCACCAAGCGCCAGTGGGAGGGAGAGGTGCTAACAGTCCTGGGTGGTTTTTATTCCCCTTGTGTGGCCAGGACAGGGTGGGTGCTGGGGTCTGGGAAGGGCCCAGGGATATGAGGGTCAGGGCTGCTTGCCTCATCTCCTGATACTACCCTGGCTTCAGCCAAACCCTGCAGTCTGGCTCCAAGCCAGCCCAGCGGCAGGCTCAGCAGGTCCCAGGGGCGTGGCGGTGGCCAGTAGTAGAGCTGGCCCACACCGGCTAGGCAGGCAGCAGAGTCCCTGGACGGCTGAGCGTGCGGCTGTGGGAGCTTCTGCAGGAGTGCAGTCATGAGCCTTTTCCTGTACTGTGCCCTCCCTGCCCTGGGCAGTTATGCCATGCTCTCCAGCTTCTTCCTGCGCCGGCCTCACCTGCTGCACACACCCCGGGCTCCCAACTTCCGCATCCGCCTGGGAGCCCACCGAGGAGGTGAGCTGGGTGGGGGTGAGAACAGGCGCCAAAGTGGACAGCAGAGAGAGGTAGGTCCAAGGGGTGGATGCTAGAAACAGGGCAGAGACCAAGAGGAGGAGAGCGAGGTGGCAGGGCAGGGCGTGGACAAGGAAGAAGAGGCTGGCACAGCCTGGGCTGGCTGGGGAGGTGAGGCCAGAGCAAGGACAGAGCCCAGAGAAGGAATGTGGGTAATGAGGTCAGGCCAGGCCTCTAGACCCCAAGCCCCAGGGGCCCACTCCAGTGCCCCCCACAGGATCTGGAGAGCTGCTGGAGAACACCATGGAGGCCATGGAGAAGTGAGTGTATCTGCCCTGGCCAGGCTACCATGTGAGGGTGTGCAGGTTGTGCACTGCATCATAGCAAGGGATGCCATTCATTTCCTAACTGGGTGACTGGAGCCCCGTGGAGGTGGCCTGCACATCCCACCGTGAACTCTGCCCTCACATTCTCTGCCACCTCCCCACCACCATACCCATCATCCCAGTCCCCTACCCCTCTGCCCCCACTGACCTTCGCCCCCACAGCTCCATGGCCCAGCACTCGGACCTCCTGGAGCTCGACTGTCAGCTGACAAGGGACAGAGTCGTGGTGGTGTCACATGATGAGAACCTGTGCCGTCAGTCAGGCTTGAACAGGGATGTGAGCAGCCTGGACTTTGAGGTGGGACCTCCCCTGATGTCCCAACCCCCACCCTGAGAGTCGTCATGCCTGATGCCAGCCTCTAGTGACATCCTTCCTGTCCTCCCCAGGACCTGCCCCTCTACAAGGAGGAGCTGGAGGTTTACTTCTCTCCAGGTGAGAGCAAGGGCTTCAAGCCCTGCCTGGGCCATGCCCGCCTTCCCCGGACGCCCACCTTGGCTTCCCTCTCTGACCCCTCTTCCTACACCTGCCAGGCCACTTTGCTCATGGAACGGACCGGCGCATGGTGCGTCTGGAGGACCTGTTCCAGAGGTTCCCAAGGACACCCATGAGTGTGGAGATCAAAGGGAAGAACGAAGAGCTCATCCGTGAGGTGGTGCTGCAGGCAGGGCAAGGGTGGCCACCTGGGGCAGGAGAGAGGCCTGGCTCTCCCGTCACCTCCTTCTCCTCCTCCTAGATAGCAGGCTTGGTGAGGCGCTTTGACCGTAATGAAATCACCATCTGGGCCTCAGAGAAGAGCTCCATCATGAAGAAATGCAAGGCTGCTGTGAGTTCATCCTCCCCGCCCCCGTCCCCCCCCCCCCACCTCCATCCCCTTCCCGCTCCAGCGGCCCCTCCTCCTGGGAGCTGGAGCCCACCCAGCCTGGAGATCCAAGCTAGAGGGGTCTGGGAGCGTTCTCAGTGGCATGGCGGTGGCAATGGAAAGCATGTGAACTCAGGCCTTGAACACAAAGCCAAGATGTTACTTTCTTTTCTGAGACAGAGTCTCTCTTTGTCTCTCAGGCTAGAGTGCAGTGGCACACTCTCAGCTGACTGCAACCTCTGCCTCCTGGGTTCAAGTGATTCTTATACCTCAGCCTCCCGAGTAGCTAGGATTGCAGGTGCATACCACCATGCCTGGCTAATTTTTAAATTTTTATTAGAGATGGGGTTTCACCATATTGGTCTTGAACCTCTGACCTCAGGTGATCTGCCCACCTCAGCCTGCCAAAGTGCTTGGGGTTACAGGCGTGAACCACCGCGCCCATCCTCAAGGTGTAACTTGGATCCTTCAAGGATCCAAGGGCCTCCGAAATGCCCACCATGGCCCCCCTGCAGCTCATGCCTCCTCTCTGCTTCCCCAGAGCAGACAGATCCTCTCTCACACCTCTCCTTGCCTCCCCAGAACCCCGAGATGCCCCGGTCCTTCACAATAAGCCGAGGATTCTGGGTGATCCTTTCTTACTACCTGGGGCTGCTGCCCTTCATCCCAATCCCTGAGAAGTTCTTCTTCTGCTTCTTGCCCAACATCATCAACAGGTACGGGGTTGAGGGGGGCGGACCTGAGAATAACGCCCCATTGCTTAGGGTTCCCCGGGGAGGAGCCTGGATCTCCCCAGCTGGCTCCCATCAGAGGTAACCCCCAAGGTCCTTTAAAGACAGTGATTCTTACCCAGCATTCATGAATACTAAAGGCAACTGTGAACCCCCTGAGATTCTGTGCAAATATGTATTGATGAGTTTTAGAAGAGAGGGCTCATTTATCCATCTCAGTTCATCTAGCCTATTTTATTGAGCGTCTGCTCTGTCCAAGGTGCAGTTATAATGTCAATAAAACCAATGAGGGTGGGAGGAGGTTCTCCATGAGCTTACAGTCTAGCTCGTGGAGAGCTACATTCATTCATTATATAGCATGGCTGTCTCAGACTCTGAGAAAAGGGCAAGTCAGTGTTCTTCTGCAGGAAGGCAGGGGTTAACAAAGTAACAGCTGGGGAAAGTATCAGGAATTTGGATATTCTCTGGCACTTAGGCCTGGGCCTGGTCCCTGCTTTTACTTTTTAAAAACAATTTTTTTTTTTTTTTTGAGACAGTCTTGTCCAGGCTGGAATGTAGTGGCCAGACCATGACTTACTGCAGCCTCAACCTCCTAGGCTCAGGAGATCCTCCGGCCTCAGCCTCCTGAGAAGCCGGGAGTATAGGCGTGCATCACTGCACCTGGCTAATTTTTAAATTATTTGTAGAGACAAGGTCTCACTTTGCCCATGTTGGTCTTTTTTTTTTCTTAGTCCCTTAAAACAATACTACCAAAGCCCATGTTGGTCTTGAACTCCTCAGCTCAAACAAGCCTCCCGCCCCAGTCTCCCAACGTGCTGGGATTACAGGCCTGACCCCAGGGCCTGGCCTCCCTTTGCTTTCTGGCAGCTTCTCTGTGGTGGTCAGAGAGGGAAGTCCCACTCTGCCCCTACCATCCCTTGCTGCAAAGAAGTCATTCAATGATGTTTGTGTACCACCTTTTATACAGGATTTATAAAGTGTTTTCACATCTTTAGGGTTATTTGACTTTTACCTTGCAGCACCCCAGGAGGTATAGGAATCCTGACCCCCATGGTACCCTGGAGAATCTGAGACCCAGAGAGGTTCTGTGATTTGCCCAAGGTCACACTGCCAGAAATCCAGAGCTTGGGTTTTCCCTGGGTCTGACTCCAAAGCCTGCCCTAGGACACTGTTCTGCTCTGGGTCTAGCAAGTCCCTTCGGCTCTCTAAGGCCCAGACTCATCTGTTGAATGGTGACTGGAGGGCCACACCCTCAAAGCGTGGTGGTCAGGCTCTCTGAACAATGGGTGAATTGTTCATTCGGGCCACTGCAAAGGTTATTATTCTGGGGAACTCTGGGGGGCAGCGCTACCCTGGTCAGAGGCTGGGGGGACACTATCACCCCACCCCACCCCACCTCTGGGACAGGGTGACCCCCTAGGGGCTGACCCCCACCTCCTTCTCTCTGCAGGACCTATTTCCCATTTTCCTGCTCTTGCCTGAACCAGTTGTTGGCTGTGGTTTCGAAATGGTGAGGTGGGCGAGACGGTTAGGTGGAGTGTCCCCATAGAGACCTGCTGCTGCCCTTCTCCCAGGTCCCCTCTTATCATCACCTTCCCTGTCCCCATCCCCAGGATGATCATGAGGAAGAGTCTGATCCGACACTTGGAGGAGCGAGGGGTGCAGGTGAGGCCTTGATCACTGCTCCCACTGCATGCGGGCCTGGCAGTACAGTTCTGGTCCCACTCTGCTGCCAACTAGCTGCATAGCTCAGGCAGGTGACTTCATCTGAGTCTCAGTTTCTTTATCCCTAAAACGGGAAAATGGTATATTTAACTCTTCTGGACACAGACACACACTCTCTCTCTCTCTCTCTCTCTCTCTCTTTTGTGTGTGTGTGACAGTCTTGCTCTGTCACCCAGGCTGGAGTGCAGTGGTGCAATCTTGGCTCACTGCAACCTCTGCCTCCTGGGTTCAAGTGATTCTCCCTGCCTCAGCCTCTGAGTACTGGGATTACAGGTGCCTGCCACCACACCCAGCTCATTTTTGTGTTTTTTTAGTAGAGACAGTGTTTTACTATGGTGGCTAGGCTGGTCTAAAACTCCTGGCCTCAAGCGATCCACCTACCTCAGGTTCCTAAAGTGCTGGGATTACAGGTGTGAGCCACCACACCCTGCCACACACACATTTTCTTAACCCGACACTGCCAACATATGGATATGTAACTAGTGCTTTTTTTTTTTTTTTTTTTTTTGAGACATCTCGCTCTGTTGCCCAGGCTGGAGTGAAATGGCGCAGTCTCGGCTCACTGCAACCTCCGCCTCCCCGGTTCAAGCGATTCTCCTGCCTCAGCCTCCTGAGTAGCTGGGATTACAGGCATGCGCCACCATGCCTGGCTAATTTTTTTTGTATTTTTAGCAGAGACGGGGTTTCACCATGTTGGCCAGGCTGGTCTCAAACTCTGGACCTCCTGATCCACCTGCCCTAGCCTCCTGAAGTGTTGGGATTGCAGGCGTGAGCCACTGAGCCCAGCCGTAACCAGTATTTATTAAGGGCTTGATAAATGTTAGCTACTATGATGACAACAATGATGTACCCTGATCCCTGATGAGAGGGGCCATGGAAAGATGAGAGAAGGGAGAAACCACGCCCAGCCCACCCACCCTTTCCCCTGGCTTCAACCAGATCATTTAATTTATAAACCATCCTTGAGAATGTACCAGGCACTAAGGTACTAGGAGTGGGAGCTTACCATCAAGGGCACAGGGAAGAAATGCCATAAGCAGAGGCTGGGCATAGTGGCTCCCGTCTGTACTCCCAGCACTTTGAGAGGCCAAGATGGGAGGATCACTTGAGCTCAGGAGTTTAAGACCAGCCTGGGCAACATACCGAGACCCTAATTTAAAAATTAGCCAGGTGCAGTGGTTTTTGCACCTGCAGTCCCAGCCACTCAGGAGGCTGAGATGGGCGGATCACCCGGGCACAGGGGTTTGAGGCTGCAGTGAGCTATAATTAGAATCACGCCACTGCACTCCACATTCCAGCCTGGGAGAGATAGCCAGACTCTGTCTTGAAAGAGAGAGAGGAGAGAGAGCAAGAGCAAGAGCCAGAGAGAGGGAGAGGGAAAGGAGAGGGAGGGAAACAGGAAAAAAAGAAAAGAAAAGGGAAGGGAAAGAAAAATGCAGAAACCCAGCACGGTGGCTCACGCTTGTAATCCCAGCACTTTGGGAGGCCATTAACTTGACGCCAGAAGTTTGAGACCAGCCTGGCCAACATGGTGAAACCCCATCTCTACTAAAAAGGTACACATTAGCAGAGGATGGTGGTGGGTGCCTAGAATCCCAACTACTCGGGAGGCTGAAGCACAAGAATTGCTTGAATCCGGCCGGGCGTGGTGGCTCAAGCCTGTAATCCCAGCACTTTGGGAGGCCGAGATGGGTGGATCACGAGGTCAAGAGATCGAGACCATTCTGGTCAACATGGTGAAACCCCGTCTCTATTAAAAATACAAAAAATTAGCTGGGGACAGTGGCGCGTGCCTATAATCCCAGCTACTCAGGAGGCTGAGGCAGGAGAATTGCCTGAACCCAGGAGGCGGAGGTTGCAGTGAGCCAAGATCGTGACATTGCACTCCAGCCTGAGTAACAAGAGCGAAACTCCGTCTCGAAAAAAAAAAAAAAAAACGAATTGCTTGAATCCAAGAGACAGAGGTTGCAGTGAGCTGAAATCACACCACTGCACTCCAGCCTGGGCGGCAGAGCAAGACTGTCTCAAAAATTAATTGATTAAGTAAAATTAACTGGGCATGGTGGTACACGCCTGTAGTCCCAGCTAGTTAGGAGGATGAGGTGGGAGGATCCTTTGAGCCCGGGAGGTCAAGGCTACAGTGAGCCATGATTACACCACTGCACTCCAGCATTGGCAATACAGTGAGAATTAGTCTTGTCTGTATTTTTAATAAAATAAAAAATTCCCATCTCTGCCTACCTCAGTGCCCACTGGAAAGGGCAGGAGGGCAGGGAAGGGGCAGAGCTGCAGGAGCTGGGGCAGGCAGCAGAGGCAAGGGGGCTGGGGGAGGGCGGTGCTGGTAAGTGATCAACAACCAGCTCTCAAAGAGGAACAAATAAAGCCCTGATCTGAGCATTAATTTTCCTGGTTTAAAGATTCCCACCTTGGCCAGTTTCAGGCTGCCAACATGAAGCCACTAAACGAAGAATGGGAAGAGATTCGTGGTGGCACCCCGTCATCTAGTATTTCCATCTTACAGCTTCAGCAGACTTAATAACTTCAAGAACACAGTAATAGGAAATAGGAAGAGATATGCTTTGAGTATTTACTACTGTTTGTTTTTTGGGTTTTTGTTGTTGTTTTCTTTTGGGACACAGTCTCGATCTGTCACCCAGGCTGGAGTCCAGTGGCACGATCTTGGCTCACTGCAACCTCCACCTCCTGGGTTCAAGTGATTCTCCTGCCTCAGTCTCCCGAGTAGCTGGGATTACAGGCACCTGCCACCACGCCCGGCTAATTTTTGTATTTTTAGTAGAGATGGATTTCACCATGTTGGCCATGCTGGTCTTGAACTCCTAATCTTAGCTGATCCACCTGCCTCAGCCTCCCAAAGTGCTGGAATTACAGGTGTGAGCCACCACCCCTGGCCACTGTTGTTTTGATAATTCATTTAATTATGTTTATATAACTTATTTATTATCTTTTGAGATGAGGGCTTGCTCTGTCACCCAGGCTGGAGTACAGTTGTGCAACCATAGCTCACTGCAGCCTCAAAGTCCTGGGCTCAAGCAATTCTCTCACCTTCCAAGTAGCTGGGAGCACGGGCACACACCACCACCTCCAGCTAATTTTTAAAATGTGTTTTGTAGAGATGGGGTCTTACTTGCTGATCTCAAACACCTGGCCTCAACTCCTGCCTCAGCCTCCCCGAGTGTTGAGATTACAGGCATGAGCCACCGTACCCAGGCTATGATTTAATTTTTAATAATGGCTGGGTTTAATAACCACTTTGCAAAATTCCTGAGAATTTAACAATCAGGCCCAGTGTACTGCTGCTGGGAGGTCCATAGAGGAGGAGGCAGGTCTAGATGTAAAATTGTTCAGAAACGTCAAGGCCCCTCCCTCCCTGCTCAGGTGGTCTTTTGGTGCCTTAATGATGAGTCGGATTTTGAAGCGGCCTTCAGTGTGGGAGCCTCTGGCGTCATGACGGATTATCCCACAGCTCTGAGGCACTACCTGGACAACCATGAACCAGCTGCCCGGACCTCCTAAGTCCAGAGGCCTCACCCTCCCCTGTTTCTCTTCCTGAAAAATAAATATTTGCCTTTTGATCACACCGTTGTGCTGAGGGTGAGGAGTAGAGGGGTGGGTCCTCTACTTGAAGATGTCAAGATGGCAGCTTAGGAGGGAACAGGCTAGCCCTGAAGCTAGAGCCTTGGGCTCTCAGGAGCCTGACCCACTGGTTCCACTACATTCCTGTCATCCTAGCACACCCTGTGTCAAACTGGCCTCCACTCTCCTCAGGAATGTCCCCTCACTGCCAACCCAGGTGTCCTGGCCCCCAGCCACTTGACAGTGACAGATAATGGTTCCATTTTCCTGAGGCCATCAACAGCCCAGGCACAGGGCAGGGGACTTAATCTCTCCCATGTCTTGCCCTGTGAGCTTCCTCCTCGGGCTGCAGAGGATGGGCCTGGGTGGGACAGCTGAGTTCACCCAGCCCCTCTGCTGCCTCCGTCATTCCAACCTTCTCCTCCCAGGTCTCCTTCTCCAGAAGCTCCCAGAACTCCTGTGCTCTCTCCAGCCTCAGGGCCACATTCACTGAATGAACTACACATTCACATTTCGCAGACACTTATTGAGCGCCTCCTCTAGGCCAGGGCCGGCCCACTGCAGTAAGAAAGACAAGCCTAAAAACTGCAGAAGCGTGTTGAAACAGACATGCCCCGAGATCAGACCTAACCCAGCCTGGAGGACAGGGGCATCCGAGGGGTGCCTGGAGGGAGGTGATGTAGGAATTGCCTGGTTCGAGGCCCTGGCTGCCAGAGGGGATGCGCCCCTTTGGCTCTTCCCTAAGAGATGAACTAAGTGTGTCCCTGGCGCTCTGGCAGAGGCCGTGGAATGGGCCCACCCTGAGAATTCCAGCTTCGCCTCGTAGCAGCTGGATAACCTGGGGAGCCGCGAGACCTCCCTGGGCCTCATCGGCCCCTGGAACTGTGGAGCCAACGGGAGAAACGGCCTCACGCGGGGATTGAGCCGGGCATGGGCGGCGGACAAACGCGGGTCATTATGACTCAACTCCCCCGGGCGTGCGTCCCAGCGCCACCCCGTTCCCCGCCCCGCGCCCAGCCTAGACCCTCCGACCCCGCCCCTGCGCGGATCGCGAGCTGGAACGCGAGCAGGCCCGGGGCGCGCAAGCCGCCGCCGCATTTCCGGGCCGGCGGGTGCTGGCGGCGGGGGAGGGGCAGCCAGGGCCTGCGCCGGCGGCCGAGTGACGCGCCCCCTCATTTGCATGCGGCGCGCCCATTGGCCACGGCGGCCGCCGGGACGGGAGGCGGGTCCCCTCCCCCTCCCGCCGCAGCGGCGGCAGCAGCTGGGCTCGGTGTAAACAAGTCCAGGCGCCTGCGAACCCGGGCCGGGGGGGACGGCGCCCGCCAGGAGCGCCCCCCACTCCCAGGCCAGCCCACCCCGGCGGACCGGGCCCGGCGCGCCCAGGCGAGGTGAGGCTTGCGCCGTCAGGGCTGCGCGTCTCCCCGCGCCCCCGCCCCCGGCGCCCACCCCCACCCCCGTGCCCCAGGTGAGCCCCGGGGTCCAGGTAAGGCTCCGCGATGCAGGTAAGAGCCCCTGGGCGTAGAGGAGGCCTCGGCGCCCGCAGGTGAGAGCCCCTCCCCTCCTAGGTGACCCTCCACCTTCACGGCGAGGCCTCCCGCCTCCGCCAGGTGGGAGACCCTCCCGCCGATGAACCCCCTAAACTCCCAGTGAACCCTCACTGCCCTCCAGATGAGGTTGCAAGGACCAACCAATGCCTACCCGCCAATGCTCCCCTGAAACTGGGAACTGACAGCCCAGCCCCTCCAAAGCCCCTTCCTCCAGCTTCAGTGCCAGGTCAGCAAGGGTGAGGCAGGAAGCAAGCGGGTGACTCACCCTGGGCTCCTCCGAGCCTCAGTTTCCCCATTGATGCAACCTGAGGCCTCCCCACTGAGTCAAAACCGAGAGCCTTTGGTCTCTGGAGAGGCTACTGGCTCTGGGGAAAGGAGACAGCAGCCGAGTGTGACAGAGCGAGTCCCCACGGCTCTGGGAGTGCCTTGCATGTGTGTGGCCCAGGTCCTGACAGCCCACCTACTCCCTCCCTGGCAGGCACTGGGCTCCCTCTGCTCCCCGTGGGCCGCTCCCCGCGTGGGGCCACTGCCCCAGGCCCCCGCCATGGTGCGGATTTCAAAGCCCAAGACGTTTCAGGCCTACTTGGATGATTGTCACCGGAGGTATAGCTGTGCCCACTGCCGCGCTCACCTGGCCAACCACGACGACCTCATCTCCAAGGTAACCAACCAGGCCACAGTGGGGCTGGAAGTTATAGGGGCTGCCTGGCAGCTCCCCACCCGCAGCCCTGACCCCTTCCTCTCTTCCCACCCTCCCACCCTTTAGTCCTTCCAGGGCAGTCAGGGGCGTGCCTACCTCTTCAACTCTGTGTGAGTATCTGGCCTCCCTTCTTGCTTTCCCTGACCTCTGTTGTGACCTGTGACCCCTGGCATCCTGCTGAGACTCCCAGAATTCCCCGGTGCAGGCAGGAAGCTGTGAACATCGTCTCTTGGATGCTCAGGACAGGCACAGTGCTTGAGGGGGGCCCTGTGATGTCAGGACTCTCCCTGGGACTTCCCTATGTCCCCACAGGGTGAACGTGGGCTGTGGGCCAGCCGAGGAGCGGGTGCTGCTGACCGGCCTCCATGCTGTCGCCGACATCCACTGCGAGAACTGCAAGACCACTTTGGGCTGGAAATATGTGAGTCAGCCACCTTTGACCCCAGGCTAGCTTTCGATCTGACCTTCCAACACCTCCTCCTGACAAGCAGTCCTCCAATAACCCTTCAGATTGCATAGGCCCAGCTCACACAAGTCAGACCATCTTTTCATCCCCGACCACGTTCTCTTCTCTAGCACCCTGCAAGGGCTGTAAAATTTTTCTCTTAACCCAACCCTCCTCTCCCAGGCACTTGCATCCCCATTTGAGAGTCAGGATATCATCAGAGTCACCGTTTATTGAATGCTATGTGCCATGCACTGTTGTGTGCTTGGCATCTATTATTTCATTCAATCATTGCAGCGATCCTGTAGGTAGAAGCTATTATTATCTCTACAGAAGAAGACAGGGAGGCCCAGAGATGTTAGGTAACTTGGCCAAGATCACACAACTGGTAAGTAACAGAATAGGGACCACAATCCAAGTTGGTTGATTTTTTTTTTTCACTCCAAACCCTTGGCCACCAGCTTATATTATCATTCAGAGGATCAGAAAAATTGCCCCAGACTCCACAACAACCTTGAGCTTGGATTCACCAGCCTCCCTTTCCGTAGCCCTCACTGCCACTGCTGCTGTCCAAGGTCTGATTTCACTACCCTGAGTCTCATTTCCTTATCTGTCAGTGGAAGATAAAGCCACTGCCTAGCACCCAGGATTGTTACAGGGATCAGATTAGATGTGGCAAACAAAGATGCTTTTGGGACCCTGCAAGGGACAGGATTCTTCAGGCGTCGCTTGGAGCTGTGGTGCCTCTGTGAGATGGATGGCCCAGGCAGAGCCAGCCAGCCAGCCCTGACCTGAGCTTACCACTGACCCTGCCACAGATTGACTCTGTCTCTGGACAGGTGGCTTGGCCACTGTGGACCTCTATCAAATAAAGAGCTGGCCTAGACCAGAGGTCAAAAACTCAAGTGCCCGCAAGGCCAAGTGGATACTGTAGATGTGTAAAGGGCAGCATAGATTCTAGGGGCGGGGGGTTGGGGGTAGGCTGGGCCAAACTGGAGTGAGCAAGGCCTGCATATGTGTGTGTGTGTGTGTGTGTGTGTGTATTAATTTTTTTTGAGACGGAGTTTCGCTCTTGTTGCCCAGGCTGGAGTGCAATGGTGTGATCTTGGCTCACTGCAACCTCTGCCTCCCGGGTTCAAGTGATTCTCCTGCCTCAGCCTCCCAAGCAGCTGGGATTACAGGCATGTGCCACCAAACCCAGCTAATTTTGTATTTTTAGTAGAGACAGGGTTTCTCCATGTTGGTCAGGCTGGTCTCGAACTCCCAACCTCAGGTGATCTGCCTGCCTTGGCCTCCCAAAGTGTTGGGATTACAAGCATGAGCCACCGTACCCAGCCTGGCCTGCCTATATTTTAATACTTTATTTTTATTAAACCCTCTGCTGTCCAAAATGGCCATGAAGCCACCAGTTTGCAAACTCTGAACTGTGAAATCTTTTAGCCACTTCCCTGTCTTCTCTATTGGAGCCATCATTAGTACTTAAAAAGTACCTTCGAGTCAGGAAGTTCTGTTCTACGTATGAGAAACACAGCCATGCCCCTCTGGTCCACAGTTTCCTCATATGTAAAATGGGGCCACTCATGTCCACTCCCCAACCCTGTGCCTTGTGGTGAGACTGTTGCTCCCGGGATGACAGTCCCACCCCTCCTTTTAGGAACAGGCCTTTGAGAGCAGCCAGAAGTACAAAGAGGGGAAGTACATCATTGAACTCAACCACATGATCAAAGACAACGGCTGGGACTGACCCCAGCTCCTCGACGCATGTGGTTCCAGACCGGCCTGGCCGCCAGGGAGCGCCACCGGCTTCCCTCTGCCCGAAGGGAGCTCTGGACCCTCAGGGCCCCTGCAGAGGACGAATCCGGCTCCTGTACATATATTTTATTGCATGCACTGTGACCTTGGGGGGAGATCAGAAGGGGGACGACGCCCCCACACCTCCTGCGATCTGGCTGGCTTGGATCTCGTTTTTTACCCCTTCCTGCCCCGCCTGCCCTATAGATATGGCCTGTGTGCTGCTCCCCTGGCCCCAGTGCACCGTCTGCTCTGTGAACTTCTCCTCCCACCAGGCCCCTCTTACCCCACGCGTGTCTGCCCCCCTCGTTCTGTAGCGTTTGTACATAATAAAACAATGGAGTGGAGACAGCCCAGGCTCGCGTGCACTCCGGGAAGGGGGAATTCAAGCGGAGATTTCTGCCCCTATAGACCTGTGCGGTCTGAGCCCCAGCGGGGAATGGGGTAGGTACGGCCGTCCAAGCTGGGGCTCCAGGAACCGGGACGGTCTCACTGTCGGCGAAGGTCCTGAGCCCACACTGGCTGCCTACGCCTTGACCATGTTTGGTCTGCGTCTGCTCGGTTGCAGCTTTTGGCCTCCGCCTAGGGTCAGCGACCCCGGGAGGCAACCGCGTCCCCGACCCAGCAGACCCTCGCGGCCGGACTACAACTTCCAGCGGCCCCCGCGTGGTCCGTCCGGCTCCTTCGGGCGCTGGGCCTGACGGGAAGTGTGGTTCCGAGGGTTCCTCAGAGCGGGACCTTCTGGGAAACCCTGGCGCGAGGCGTCAGAAGCTATCAGACTGTTTGCGCCTCTGAACTTTTGAGGCTTGGCCCAGGGTGGAGTTTTTTATTTTTTTAGCATGGGGACCAGGGAAGACTCCGGGACTAGGGCCTCGGCTGCGGCCTCCTCGCGGCCCCGAGATCCCTGTGAAATCAGTTCAGGCCGCGTCCCTCCAGCCTGCAGTTTCCTTCTGGTCATGCTGCTTCCCTCCAGGGCCTGTCCTCCAAGTGAGGGAGGACGGAGGGCGGTCACCTGCCAGAAGGTCTGGGGCGCGAAGGTGTGCCTCGGGACTCCAGCCTCCGTCCAGGTTCCAGGCCCCGCCCCCCAGCTTATCCTTAGGCTGGGCTCCCCACCGTGGGAACGGGGACCAGCTGGCCGGAAGCGCCAAACTGCGTCCCTGTCCGAGCCCGGGGGATCAATCAGGCCGAGGAGTTAATTATGTAATGAGGGGGCAGGGGGTCGAGGCTAATGAAGCCGCCCGGGGTGGGGAGGGAGTGGAGGAGGGAACCGTACCCAGGTATCCGGCCCCCTCTCGGACCCCTTCGAGGCCCCAGGGGTCTCCACCCCAGCCCAACTCCAGGGCCCCAAAGAGGGGAGGGGCTGTGATCCTAGGTCTGGAAGGGGCTGAGCTGTGAGCTATAAAGGGGGCATCTCACAGCACCGGGGGCTCTAGGCGGCGGGACCTGAGGCCAGACGGAACTACAACATGTACCATCCACGAGAGTTGTACCCGTCCCTGGGGGCCGGCTACCGCTTGGGGCCCCCCAACCCGGGGCAGACTCCAGCTTCCCACCTGCCCTAGCTGAGGGCTACCGCTACCCTGGTGAGCGTTGGGACCAGCTCCTGGGTAGGAGAATGGGGGCACTGTGGCCCTCAGCTGGTTCCTCATTTTTCCCCGACTTCCAGACCTGGATACCCCCAAACTGGATTGCTTCCTCTCCGGGATGGAGGCTGCTCCCCGCACCCTGGCCGCTCCCCCACCTCTGCCCCTTCTGCCCCCTGCCATGGGCACAGAGCCGGCCCCATCAGCTCCAGAGGCCCTCCATTCCCTCCCTGGGGTCAGCCTCATCCTGGAGAACCGGGAGCTATGGAAGGAGTTCAGCTCTGTGGGAACAGAAATGATCATCACCAAAGCTGGGAGGTGAGGGGCTAGCCAGGGTCCGTGTTTCTGGTGGGGGGGTCTCTTGGGAAAGGCAGAGTCCCTGGGGAGGGGGATAGGTCTGGGAGGTTCTCTAAGGGGGTAGAGCTCTGCCTAGGCTTAGAATCTATGGCCTGGGGGTAGGGGGTACTCTGTGGTTGGAATCAGGAGTCATTCTGTGACAAGGGTCAAGGGTCAGTCTGTGGAGTCTGTGGCTGAGTTTAGGGACCAATCTATGGCAAGAGTCATAGGTCAGTCTGGGGCAGGGTCAGGAAGTCCCGCTGGCTTATAGGTTAGTGTGTGGCCTAGATCAGCGTTCAGACAAGGACAGGGGGTCAAGGGCCAGCCCAGTGACCAGCATCAGGGAAGTCTGGCGATTTGAGTAGGAGTCAGTATGTCGAGGTTCAGTGTCAGTATGCGCCTTGAATAGGAGTCAGTATATGACTAGGTTCAGGATCACCCTAAAGGCAGGGATGTGGTCAGTGTGTAGCCTGAGTCGAGATCTTCATCTAGGGCAGGAGCTCAAGCCCTAGCACGGGAAATCCTCAGCCTTACTGCAGGCAGCATATTTTTTCTGAAGGAAGTTCATATAAAAGCTGCAGATTCTGGTGTTGGAGTCAGGGGAGGAGAGGAGGGTGGGGACACGAAGCTCCTGGCAACATTTCAGGGAGAAAAGTTAGTCACCCCTGCTTCTGTAAATAGGCTTTGAAGGGTAGGAATCATGGCTGTCCCTAACCTGCCGTGTGACAGATCACCTAACCCATCTGTCCTGTTTCCCCAAATGTAAAATGAGAAAGAAAACCTTCCAGCTCTAAGATTCTGCCCTCTGGGTTCTTTTTTCCTTTATTATTATTACTATTTTTTTGAGACTGTTGCCCAGGCTGGAGTGCAGTGGCGTGATCTCTGCTCACCCCAACCTCCGCTTCCAGGGTTCAAGCGATTCTCCTGCCTTAGCCTCCCAAGTAGCTGGGATTACAGGCGCATGTCACCATGTCCAGCTAATATTTGTATTTTTAGTAGAGAGGGGTTTCACCATATTGGCCAGGCTGGTCTGAAACTTTTGACCTCTTGATCCTCTCACTTTGGCCTCCCAAAGTGCTGGGATTATAGGCATGAACCACCACACCTAGACCTTTTTTCATTTTTTAGAGACAGATCTTGCCTTGTTTCCCAGGCTGGAGTGCAGTGGTGCAATCATGGCTCACTGTAATCTTGACCTCCCAGACTCAAGTGACCCTCCTGCCTCAGTCTCTAGAGGAGCTGGGACTATCAGTGTGCACCACAGTGCCTAATTTTTTAATTTTTTGAGGCCGGGTGCAGTGGCTCACGCCTGTAATCCCAGCACTTTGGGAGGCCGAGGAGGGTGGATTACGAGGTCAAGAGATCGAGATTATCCTGGTCAACATGGTGAAATCCCATCTCTACTAAAAATACAAAAAATTAGCTGGGCACGGTGGCGCGTACCTGTAATCCCAGCTACTCAGGAGGCTGAGGCAGGAGAATTGCCTGAACCCAGGAGGCGGAGGTTGCGTTGAGCCGAGATCGTGCCATTGCACTCCAGCCTGGGTAACAAGAAGGAAACTCCGTCTCAAAAAAAAAAAAAAATTTAGAGATGGGGTCTCACTATGTTGCCCAGGCCGGTCTTGAACTCCTGGGCTAAGAGATCCTCCCACCTTGGCCTCCCAAATGTGTTGGGATTAGAGGTATGAGCCACCGCCTCCAGCCTGCCCTTTGGGTTCTAATTCCACCACCCTGGATGTTTCTCTGACAGCCCTGGGGAGCCTGCCGCTATGTCCTGTTGCTGGTGCTGGGCTCACCCCTGGCCAGTGGGTAGCTCCAGGCCTCTCCTGTTCCCTCCCTTGCACAGGCGCATGTTCCCTGCCTGCCGAGTGTCAGTCACCGGCCTGGACCCGGAGGCCCGCTACTTGTTTCTTCTGGATGTGGTTCCAGTGGACGGGGCTCGCTACCGCTGGCAGGGCCGGCGCTGGGAGCCCAGCGGCAAGGCAGAGCCCCGCCTGCCTGACCGAGTCTATATTCACCCCGACTCTCCTGCCACGGGTGCCCATTGGATGCGGCAGCCTGTGTCCTTCCATCGTGTCAAGCTCACCAACAGCACGCTGGATCCCCACGGCCACGTGAGGCCCAGGCTGGGACTCCAGGATAGGGGATGGGGGTGCTAGAAGAGAGGTCAAGGCTGAGGCACAGGGCAGGGAATCATTCCCATTTCTTCCCTCCCAGCTGATCCTGCACTCCATGCACAAGTACCAGCCCCGCATACATCTGGTTCGAGCAGCCCAGCTCTGCAGCCAGCACTGGGGGGGTATGGCCTCCTTCCGCTTCCCCGAGACCACATTCATCTCTGTGACAGCCTACCAGAACCCACGGGTGAGTGCCCCTGCTTGAGGGGGTGGTGGCGCCCTGCCCAGGCCACAGGAGCTTTGACCCTGGACGTGTGCTCCCAGATCACACAACTGAAGATTGCAGCCAATCCCTTTGCCAAAGGCTTCCGGGAGAACGGCAGAAACTGTAAGAGGTGGGCATTATTCATTCGCTCGTTCATGCATTCAACAAATGTTTATTAATCGCTCATGGTGTGCCAGGCTCTGTGCTGGACACAGTGGAATGCAGTGGTAAGTAAAAACATTCATTCTCTGACTCAGCAAATACTTATTTAGTACCTGCTTTGTGCCAGGGACACTTCCAGGAACTGGAAAGAAATCAAAGCAAACCAAAGCCCCTGCCCTCATGGAACTGACATTCTAGTGGAGAGAGCAGACAAGAGAAATAAATCAAATGTGGTCTGTTAGGAAGCTAAAGAGAAGAGAAACCAGGCGTGGTGGCTCATGCCTGTAATTCCAGCACTCTGGGAGGCCGAGGCGGGTGGATCGGCTGAGGTCAGGAGTTCGAGATCAGCCTGGCCAACATGGTGAAACCCTGTTTCTACTAATAATACAAAAATTAGCCAGGTGTGGTGATGCATGCCTGTAATCCCAGCTATTCAGGAGGCTAATGCAGGAGAATTGCTTGAACTCAGGACATGGAGGTTGTAGTGAGTCAGGTGCCATTGCACTCCAGCCTGGGCAACAAGAGTGAAATTCTGTCTCAAAAAAAAAGAAGAGAAATCAATCAGGGAAGCATAGGAAGGACTGGGGTGAGGTATTAGAGGCCTGGAAAGGCCTCAGTGGTAAGAGGACACAAGAAAAAGAGCTGAAGGAAGTACAGGAGGGAGCCAGGTGGGTATATGGCAGAGCATACTAGGGAGTGGGAACAGCATGTGCAAAGGCCCTGAGGTGGGACTGTGCCTGCAGCGTGGCATGAGTGGGGAGTGGGTGAGGAGTCAGGTAGGGGATGGAAAGCCAGGTTATGTTGAATAGTAAAGGTTCAGTAAGGCCATGGGAACTGTTCTAAGTACAGCCCCTCAGAGTTGGCCCCTGCCCTCAAGGAGCTTAAGAG